CCCCTCACCTATCAAGTTCCTCTGGCCATCAGAGCAGAGGAGCAGTTCGGCTGCAAGGCCCGTGACGGCAGTTCATTACAGAGTCCATTAAAGCAGGATATGGACAGTAAAGCGCAGAGTGACTCACGATGGTCAGCCAGGAAACATGGCGGCTGGAAATGCAAACTATCATTAAAAGATTAAAGCAGCTGGTTCAGGGACCCTTACAGTACATAAGTAGGGCTAAGTATAAAATATACCATTGTACACATGGAGGGCAGGTTGGAGAATAGTCACAACTGTGGGTCCTTGAGCACGGCCCCTAACCCCCAGCCCCCCCGGTGCTCGCTCTCACCTACCAGTGTCTGTGCAAGAGAGCAAGATCGGGTAGGAAAAAAGAGAATTTCCCAACAGGAATCAATAAAGTGTCATTATTATATTTTGGTCGATTCCTTTGTGAAGCGTAGATATGTATTGATGCATAGATGTGGTTTGCGTCTCATTGCCTTGGAAGCTTCAACACCCCCATCCTGCTCTCCTGCTCTATGCCCTCCCACTGCAGAGAGACGTTGGACTCCGACAGAATCCAGAAATGATGACGCTTGGCTATTTCTGCTTCAGCACTTTCCCTCGCTATGAGGAAAGCCGCAGCCTGAAATCCATACCTGGGAGGCTCCGTATTGAGGAAAAACCACAATCCTTTGTTCGAAATCTGCTTTAGCTCCAGATTTCACAGTGGCACTCCATCCGCTGTCCGATAATCTCCGGATCAGTCTGGCTAACAGTGACTTGGATGGCTTTCCGGTCCAGTTCTGACTTATCTTCCCTCCTTTTCCCGTTACAATGCTTGCTTAAGCCTTATAATCATTACTTGTTTCCTGTAGCCATTCAGGGCTTTTACCTCAACTGACTGTAACACCTTCAGCTAGACCTGGGTTCTCTGTTGCCATGCCGACCATTGTTGAACCAGGCTTATCCACCTATGACTGCTCCCCATCTTCTCTGCAGTGTCCCACATTCCCTCGCTGTTTCTCTGCCTCTGTCATTCTCTGCTGGCAGGTTTTGGCCTCCAACCTGAACCTCAGGCTCCTCTACAGTGGGCTGTTATCTCTCTGGGGACGTGAGCGTGATAAACTCGCGGTGACCAGGCCGTCGCATGCGAGGAGCGCAGAGTCTTGAAAATCACACATTTCCTCTCCATCTATGCCTCCTTAGATTTTAATGTTTTCTTGCGGCTTGAAATTGAAATGACAGCTTCTCCAGTCTTACCTCTAATCTTTTTCTCTCTTGAAAGAAGTTGGATTCCACCGGCAATGACTTTTTTAATTCTCTGCCTCTAAAATCTTCGGAGGGGGGGCTGCTTAAATACAATTTGCAAGGACACTCACCTGACGATATGTTTATTGATTTTCCATTTTATCTTCTTTTTTCAAAGCTTTCTTGCCACACAGTTAATCATTGACCCGACTCGAGTTTCACAGAGACATTTCCAGCGGGGATGCAGGAACCATCTCCTGATTGATACTCATAAATCCAACAGACTTCTGTGTACCTCCTGTCCCTCCTGCTTCTTCTCTGCACATTACCTTTAATTATCCCGTGATTCTGCAGTCAGTGAGCTGGCTGAGACAGGAGGACGGTCTAAACTTACCATACCATACCATACAGTCAAACTCTGAGACTCACGAAAACAAAACTCTGCATGGCAAAGCAGCCCAAGGGGCAGAAGCTGCTGGCGTTCAGTAGCTCATAAGAAACATACAAACCCTGACACAGGTTTATTGCTCAAGCCCCCCCCCCCGTCCCTCCTCAGATGTTTAAAAAGCTAAATAAATAAGTAGAAAAAAGCCACAGAAGATCATAGCTGGCTAGCAGAATGTGCTGCTTCAGTATCTCCCACGTGAGAAACACAGTTTGT